AATACATAAGGGGGGGATATGATCTCCATGTATAATACATAAGGGGGGATATGATCTCCATGTATAATACATAAGGGGGGATATGATCTCCATGTATAATACATAAGGGGGGATATGATCTCCATGTATAATACATAAGGGGGGATATGATCTCCATGTATAATACATAAGGGGGGATATGATCTCCATGTATAATACATAAGGGGGATATGATCTCCATGTATAATACATAAGGGGGGATATGATCTCCATGTATAATACATAAGGGGGGATATGATCTCCATGTATAATACATAAGGGGGGATATGATCTCCATGTATAATACATAAGGGGGATATGATCTCCATGTATAATACATAAGGGGGGATATGATCTCCATGTATAATACATAAGGGGGGATATGATCTCCATGTATAATACATAAGGGGGGATATGATCTCCATATATAATACATAAGGGGGATATGATCTCCATGTATAATACATAAGGGGGGATATGATCTCCATGTATAATACATAAGGGGGGATATGATCTCCATGTATAATAATACATAAGGGGGATATGATCTCCATGTATAATACATAAGGGGGGATATGATCTCCATGTATAATACATAAGGGGGGATATGATCTCCATGTATAATACATAAGGGGGGATATGATCTCCATGTATAATACATAAGGGGGGATATGATCTCCATGTATAATACATAAGGGGGGATATGATCTCCATGTATAATACATAAGGGGGGATATGATCTCCATGTATAATACATAAGGGGGGATATGATCTCCATGTATAATACATAAGGGGGGATATGATCTCCATGTATAATACATAAGGGGGGATATGATCTCCATGTATAATACATAAGGGGGATATGATCTCCATGTATAATACATAAGGGGGATATGATCTCCATGTATAATACATAAGGGGGATATGATCTCCATGTATAATACATAAAGGGGGATATGATCTCCATGTATAATACATAAGGGGGATATGATCTCCATGTATAATACATAAGGGGGGGATATATATCTCCATGTATAATACATAAGGGGGGATATGATCTCCATGTATAATACATAAGGGGGGATATGATCTCCATGTATAAATACATAAGGGGGGATATGATCTCCATGTATAATACATAAGGGGGGGATATGATCTCCATGTATAATACATAAGGGGGGATATGATCTCCATGTATAATACATAAGGGGGGATATGATCTCCATGTATAATACATAAGGGGGGGGGGGATAGGGGGATCTCCATGTATAATACATAAGGGGGGATATGATCTCCATGTATAATACATAAGGGGGGGATATGATCTCCATGTATAATACATAAGGGGGGATATGATCTCCATGTATAATACATAAGGGGGGATATGAATCCATGTATAATACATAAGGGGGGATATGATCTCCATGTATAATACATAAGGGGGGATATATGATCTCCATGTATAATACATAAGGGGGGGATATGATCTCCCATGTATAATACATAAGGGGGGATATGATCTCCAGTATAATACATAAAGGGGGATATGATCTCCATGTATAATACATAAGGGGGGATATGATCTCCATGTATAATACATAAGGGGGGGATATGATCTCCATGTATAATACATAAGGGGGGATATGATCTCCATGTATAATACATAAGGGGGATATGATCTCCATGTATAATACATAAGGGGGATATGATCTCCATGTATAATACATAAGGGGGATATGATCTCCATGTATAATACATAAGGGGGGATATGATCTCCATGTATAATACATAAGGGGGGATATGATCTCCATGTATAATACATAAGGGGGGATATGATCTCCATGTATAATACATAAGGGGGGATATGATCTCCATGTATAATACATAAGGGGGATATGATCTCCATGTATAATACATAAGGGGGGGATATGATCTCCATGTATAATACATAAGGGGGGATATGATCTCCATGTATAATACATAAGGGGGGATAATGATCTCCATGTATAATACATAAGGGGGGGATATGATCTCCATGTATAATACATAAGGGGGGGATATGATCTCCATGTATAATACATAAGGGGGGATATGATCTCCATGTATAATACATAAGGGGGGGAAATTGATCTCCATGTATAATACATAAGGGGGGATATGATCTCCATGTATAATACATAAGGGGGATATGATCTCCATGTATAATACATAAGGGGGGATATGATCTCCATGTATAATACATAAGGGGGGATATGATCTCCATGTATAATACATAAGGGGGGATATGATCTCCATGTATAATACATAAGGGGGGATATGATCTCCATGTATAATACATAAGGGGGGATATGATCTCCATGTATAATACATAAGGGGGGTATGATCTCCATGTATAATATATAAGGGGGGGATATGATCTCCATGTATAATATATAAGGGGGGGATATGATCTCCATGTATAATATACATAAGGGGGGGATATGATCTCCTGTATAATATATAAGGGGGGGATATGATCTCCATGTATAATACATCAGTGGTTCATATAGTGAACTCGGTGTAGTTATTTCCCCCTGAGGTCATCACAGAGGACAAGGGGGCGCTCTTTACGTCCGGAGGAAAATAAATGTAATCTCCAAACACGGAAAGGTTTCTTCACAGTAAGAGCTGTGAGAATGGTGGAATAGACTCCCTCAAGAGTTGGTTGTGACCAGCTCAGTGGATTGCTGTAGGAAAGTCCCTGGATTCTTTCTTGGATACACAGAATATAACTGGATATAACATTTATAGGTAAAGTTGATCCAGGGAATATCCGATTGCCTCTCGGGGGATCAGGAAGGAATTTTTTTTTCCTGCAGGAGCAAATTGGATCGTGCTTTGCTGGGTTTGTTGCCTTCCTCTGGATCAGCTGTGGGTGGATTATAACTTATTTTTTTTTTTTAATGGTTGAACTGGATGGACTTTTGTCTTTTTTCAGCCAGACTAACTTGTAACCTCCAAGAAAGATTTCATAAATGTATCTTGTTACACGTCGTAAGTAAATATATAAGTGAATGGCAGACACATGTTGGCAGAGATGCTGTATGTAATTTCCTCTCTCTGTTATCTATTTCACAACTTGTAACCTTCATAATGTTTTCTAGCGGAGTGTGCAGATTATTGTAATGTCGCTGAAGGTAATTCGAGGGGGAAAAAAAAAAGATCCAGGATGTAATTGCTGATAGATTCCACCATATGTCATATTATTCTCATCAGGAGAGGAGTGACAGATGTAAATTGGAGGCAAGCAATTTGAATCGGAGAAGCCCGGCTAGTTCTATGAATTATAAATAGTCGGAATGGCGGAGCGGCTTCTCGATGAATTCAATGTCACGCCGCCTTTTAGCTGTGATTAAATACATGAGTTTTGTTAAACTGTGAATTGGCGAAAGGTCAGAAAGCTTGACCCCAGGGAAAGCTGACAAAGTAGATTCAACGTGGATTGGATTGGGCTGGAAAATTGCACCGTGTTTGGGTTTTATTCATGTTTTCTCAGGTTCAGGAGGTTCAGGAGCTTTAATAGTATGACCTGGTAGAGGTTGAACTGCTTAGATTTTACATTCCCCGATTCCTCTTAGCCTCCTTATTAACATGCTGGCGACAGTAAAGTGTTACTGAACCCCCAACAGTACAATCAGTCTGTAGATGCAGGAAAGCATGCTTGTTATACTCACTGTGGAACCTAAGGGGTTAATCCTCTGCACTGTGTAAAAAGGCTGTTTGATCCTGTCTTCTCTGATCCTCCCCTTCTTCCATTGTCCCCAATCCAACTGCTGATAGTACAGAGCCTTGGGGACAAGCTGCACATGCTCTTTTTGTTGTGTATTGCTAGATAGCAGGGGCGAACTGACAACTCATGGGGCCCCCGGGCAATAGGGGATCTTGGGTCCCTGTGTCCTTGCCCCATAACTGTAAAAAGACTATGAAAAAGGTACCAGGGGCATCTCATGGGGCCCCCTACTGACCCAGGCCCTCGGGCAGTGCCCGAGTTTCCAAATGGTCAGTCCGCCCCTGCTAGATAGGGTGCATGTGATCAGCACAGGGCCAATCAGCACTGTCCAACAGGGGTCAGGCATCCTGTGGCCTCATAGGACAAACAGAGGAGAATGAAAACTCCTCCTACAAGCTTTAAACCAGTGTCCAGCTGTTTTGATCCTGTCTTCTCCGATCCTACCCTTTTTCTAATGCCCACAATCCATCTGCCATAGCACAGAGCTCTAGGAGACATTCTGCACATGCTCAGTTTAGTGTCTATTGCTAGAGCGATGTTTTTTTTTTTTTGGGGGGGGTGCATGTAATCAGCATCCTCCGCACATACTCAGTTTAGTGTGTATTGTTAGATATTTTTTTTTTGGGGGGGGTGTAGGGTGCATATGATCAGCACCCTCCGTACATGCTCAGTTTAGGGGGTGTATATGGGGGTTGTTAAGAATTTTTTTTGGGGGGGGGTGGAGGGTGCATGTGATCAGCGTCCTCCACACATGCTCAGTTTAGTGTGTATTGCTAGAGAGTCAGGGTTTTTTGGGGGGAGAGGGGGTGCATATGATCAGCACCCTCCGCACATGCTCAGTTTTAGTGTGTATTGCAAGAGAGTTGGTTTTTTTTTTGGGGGGGTGCATGTGATCAGCATCCTCCACACATGCTCAGTTTAGTGTGTATTGTTAGAAAGTTTTTTTTTTTTTGGGGGGGTGCATGTGAACAGCACCCTCCACACATGCTGAGTTTAGTGTGTATTGCTAGAGAGGGGGTTGGGGTTTTATTTGGGGGGGGGGGTGGAGGTGCATGTGATCACCACAGAGCCAATCAGCACTGCCTAGGCAGAGGGTTAGGGGCTATGCAGCCTCATAGGACAGTTAGAGCAGAATGAAAAGTCCTCCTACAAGGTTAACCAGTGCTCTGCTGGACACTGATAGAAGTTACAAGACTGATGAAAAAAGGTAAATTTAGCAGTTTAAATTTGCTAAAATAATTGCATTTCCATGTTCTGTGCAGTGTGGGAGACCAGATATAGTGAATGCAGGGTCCGGGGAGAGCAGATATAGTGAATGCAGGGTCCGGGGGGAGGAGACCAGATCTAGTGAATGCGGGGTCCGGGGAGACCGGATATAGTGAATGCAGGGTCCGGGGAGACCGGATATAGTGAACTCTTGCGGGGTCCGGGAGAGCGGATATAGTGAATGCAGGGTCCGGGGAGAGACAGATATAGTGAATGCAGGGTCCGGGGAGAGCAGATATAGTGAATGCAGGGTCTGGGGAGAGCAGATATAGTGAATGCAAGGGGTCTGGGGAGACCAGATATAGTGAATGCAGGGTCCGGGGAGAGCAGATATAGTGAATGCAGGGTCCGGGAGAGCGGATATAGTGAATGCAGGGTCCGGGAGGAGTGAATGCGGGGTCCGGGGAGATATAGTGAATGCAGGGTCCGGGGAGAGCGGATATAGTGAATGCAGGGTCTGGGGAGAGCGGATATAGTGAATGCGGGGTCCGGGGAGACCTGATATATAGTGAATGCAGGGTCCGGGGAGAGCGGATATAGTGAATGCGGGGTCCGGGGAGAGTGGATATAGTGAATGTAGGGTCCGGGGAGAGCGGATATAGTGAATGCAGGGTCCAGGGAGAGCGGATATAGTGAATGCAGGGTCCATGGAGAGAGGATATAGTGAATGCAGGGTCTGGGGAGAGCGGATATAGTGAATGCAGGGTCCGGGGGAGAGCGGATATAGTGAATGCAGGGTCTGGAAGACAGATATAGTGAATGCAGGTCCGGGGAGAGCGGATATAGTGAATGCAGGGTCCGGGGAGAGCGGATATAGTGAATGCAGGGTACGGGGAGAGGGATATCGTGAATGCAGGGTCCGGGGAGAGCGGATATAGTGAATGCAGGGTCCTGGGAGACCAGATATAGTGAATGCAGGGTCCGGGGAGAGCGGATATAGTGAATGCAGGGTCCGGGGAGACCAGATATAGTGAATGCAGGGTCTGGGGAGAGCGGATATAGTAAATGCAGGGTCCGGGAGAGCAGATATAGTGAATGCAGGGTCCGGGGAGAGCGGATATAGTAAATGCGCAGGGTCCGGGGAGAGCAGATATAGTGAATGCAGGGTCCGGGGAGAGCAGATATATCAAATGCGGGGTCCGGGGAGAGCGGATATAGTGAATGCAGGGTCCGGGGGAGAGCGGATATAGTGAATGCAGGGTCCTGGAATAACAGATATAGTGAATGCAGGTCCGGGGAGAGCGGATATAGTGAATGCAGGGTCCGGGGAGAGCGGATATAGTGAATGCAGGGTCCTGGGGGAGAGCGGATATAGTGAATGCAGGGTCCGGAGAGAGCGGATATAGTGAATGCAGGGTCCCGGAGAGAGCGGATATAGTGAATGCAGGGTCCAGGGAGAGCGGATATAGTGAATGCAGGGTCCGGGGGAGAGCGGATATAGTGAATGCAGGGTCCGGGGAGAGCAGATATAGTGAATGCAGGGTTTCGGGGGGGGGTCCGGGGAGAGCGGATATAGTGAATGCAGGGTCCGGGAAGAGCGGATATAGTGAATGTAGGGTCCAAAGAGAGCAGATATAGTGAATGCAGGGTCCGGGGAGAGCGGATATATTGAATGCGGGGTCCGGAGAGAGCAGATATAGTGAATGCAGGGTCCGGGGAGAGAGCGGATATCGTGAATGCGGGGTCCAGGGAGAGCGGATATAGTGAATGCAGGGTCCGGGGAGACCAGATCTAGTGAATGCAGGGTCCGGGGAGAGCGGATATAGTGAATGCAGGGTCCGGGGAGAGCAGATATAGTGAATGCAGGGTCTGGGGAGAGCGGATATAGTAAATGCAGGGTTCGGGTAGAGCAGATATAGTGAATGCAGGGTCCGAGGAGACCGGATATAGTGAATGCAGGGTCCGGGGAGAGCAGATATATCAAATGCGGGGTCCGGGGAGAGCGGATATAGTGAATACAGGGTCTGGGGAGAGCGGATATAGTGAATGCAGGGTCCGGGAGACCTGATATAGTGAATGCAGGGTCCGGGGAGAGCGGATATAATGAATGCAGGGTCCGGGGGAGAGTGGATATAGTGAATGTAGGGTCCGGGGAGAGCGGATATAGTGAATGCAGGGTCCAGGGAGAGCGGATATAGTGAATGCAGGGTCCGGGGAGAGAGGATATAGTGAATGCAGGGTCCGGGGAGAGCAGATATAGTGAATGCAGGGGGTCCGGGGAGAGCGGATATAGTGAATGCAGGGTCCAGGGAGACTAGATATAGTGAATTCAGGGTCCGGGGGGGGACCATATTTAGTGAATGCAGGGTCTGGCGAGACCGGATATAGTGAATGCAGGGTCCGGGGAGAGAGGATATCGTGAATGCAGGGTCCGGGGAGAGCGGATATAGTGAATGCAGGGTCCTGGAATAACAGATATAGTGAATGCAGGTCCGGGGAGAGCGGATATAGTGAATGCAGGGTCCGGGGAGAGCGGATATAGTGAATGCAGGGTCCGGGGAGAGCGGATATAGTGAATGCTGGGTCCGGGGAGAGCGGATATAGTGAATGCAGGGTCCGGGAAGAGCAGATATAGTGAATGCAGGGTCCGGAGAGAGCATATATAGTGAATGCAGGGTCCGGGGAGAGAGGATATCGTGAATGCAGGGTCCGGGGGAGAGCGGATATAGTGAATGCAGGGTCCGGGGAGAACAGATATAGTGAATGCAGTGGTCCGGGGAGAGCGGATATAGTGAATGCAGGGTCCGGGGAGAGCGGATATAGTGAATGCAGGGTCCGAGAGAGCAGATATAGTGAATGCAGGGTCCGGGGGAGAGCGGATATAGTGAATGCAGGGTCTGGGGTGAGAGCGGATATATTGAATGCGGGGTCCGGAGAGAGAGCAGATATAGTGAATGCAGGGTCCAGGGTGAAGTAACACTTAAAAAAAAAAAAAAAACGAAAAAAAAAAACTTTGCGTTATCATTACATATCTTATTTTAGAGCCAGTGTTGTCATCACTTGGTCTCTGTGTGTTTCTCCAAGCAATGAAAGCACATCATAATGGGAGGGGCCAGCAGGGTGCTGTAACGTGGCTTAATAAAATATCCCAGCACCCATCCTCAGTACTCCTCCCAAAAAGCTCTCAGCCCTGACACAAGCAGTGGGTTGGCTCTTGAGAGGAGTTATGAATATATCAGTATGCCTGGATGGATGGGTGTTTGTGCTGAAGACCGCACTGGACTGACTGGATCAGTCGCTGGTCATAGCTGGGTTGGTTGTGTGGGTGGGTAGGGAGGTGTCCCTCCAGCCGGTTGCACCCAATGGTGGATACTGGCGTTAAACCTTCTTGGGGTTTTGGGCTGCTGCCTTTCTGGTTCGGCCTTGAGGTCGTTTCCACACATAGACTTTGGAGATGAAGGAGTGCCCGATATTGTAAAAGTAGACAATTTGCTAGCAGATTAACCACTTCCCATCCGGCCGCTGATAGGCCATTGGCAGTCCAGGGGTGGGTTGCCGTTCATAAAGGGCGCCCGCCATTTTGGACTGTGCGCGCTCCCTTGGGAGCGCGCAGCACCGCGATCCGGTGCCCGCTGTATCCTCCGGACACAGTGGAACACCAATCGTCGTATGGGACCTCTGTGCGAGGTCACAATCATGTGATCACTGATTGGCCAATCAGTGATCACATGCAGAGTAGTAAGCAAGATGTCACTTCTGACATCATTGCTTACTACGTGTGAAATCCGTGAATGATCACAGAGATCACATAGTACAGGGCTATTCACAACAGCCTTGTACCATGTGACAAGCTGTGACCAATCACAGCTCACGCAGTATTTCTCAATGGCTGGAGGAATGCAGCCAGAGAGAAGGAGAAATGATTGCTTTTACAGCCTTTATGGGTGTAAAAGCAATCAGTGTAAAAAAAAAAAAAAAAATCTTCATCACCGCCCACAAGTAGTACAGTGTCACCATGGTGACACTATACTGCTAGGGTGACAGTATGTAAAAAAAAACATAAATAATAATATAAAAAAATAAAATAAAAAATATAGAAATATTTTTTTTTTTTAATTATAATTTTTGGTATAAACTAATTTGGGTTATTATTTTATTTTTACTAAAAAGATAACTGAATAAATTTTGGCCAATCTTTATGATGAAATATTATTTATTTGCAAAATTTTATAAGAAAAACACTTTTTTTTTCAAAATTTTTGGTCCTTTCATTTATATAGCAAAAAAAAATAAAAATCCCAGTAGTGAATAAATATTACCAAAATAAAGCTTTATCTGTCTCAAAAAAAATGATAAAAAATTCATATGGGTACAGTGTTGCATGACCGCGCAATTGTCATTCAAAGTGTGATAGCGCTGAAAGCTGAAAATTGGCCTGGGCGGGAAGGGGTGAGTGTCCGGACCGGAAGGGGGTGAAAGTGTCTGGATTGGAAGGGGGGTGAAAGTGTCTGGATTGGAAGGGGGTGAAAGTGTCCGGACTGGAAGGGGGTGAAAGTGTCCTGACTGGAAGGGGGTGAAAGTGTCCGGACCGGAAGGGGGTGAAAGTGTCTGGATTGGAAGGGGGTGAAAAAGTGTCCGGACTGGAAGGGGGTGAAAGTGTCCTGACTGGAAGGGGGTGAAAGTGTCCGGACTGGAAGGGGTGAAAGTGTCTGGACTGGAAGGGGTGGAAAGTGTCCGGACTGGAAGGGGGGGAAAGTGTCCGGACTGGAAGGGGTGAAAGTGTCCGGACTGGAAGGGGTGAAAGTGTCTGGACTGGAAGTGGTTAATAGCGTGCAGCAACAGCCCTTGAAGAAGGAAGAGTCAGTCTTTCCTCCCGAAACGCGTTGGATTGATGTACTTGTCATTATTCTCAATAAATGCCTCTTAATCTACTAGAAAATTGTGTACTTTTACGACATCGGGCGCTGCTTCTTCCATATTATTCCAAGTCTATGTGTGGAAAGACCTTAAGGCCGTACCAGAAAGGCAGCAGCCCAAACCCCAAGAAGGTTTACCACCAGTATCCAACTTAATCTGCCAGCAAAAGTGCATTCTTTTGGACATCAGGCGCGCCTTCTTCCCTATTATTCCAAGTCTACTTGATGGATGGTTGTCAGTCTGGAGACTTGGGCATTCCTAGACAGGCTGTATTTGCATGCCAACCACTCTTGGTAAGACCCATAAGTGATGCAAGCCTCCGTGGTTGAAAGCACTGGAATCCAATGAATGAAAAGGATGGACCAGGAAAAAGTAAGGTTTGGGAGGACGCTGGATGTCCAGCTAGGAAATGAGGTGGGCTCTATGTGATTCTTGTGCTCACAGTGTGCAGTGAAATCAGAGTAAGCCGTTTCAGCTCAGGAGAAGAGTCGGTACACCTGTGCAAGACTGAAGGCGAGCCCGGAGGTCAGTTTTGAGCTTTTAAAAACAGATGTATTCGGAAGCAGAGGTCCTCTGTACAACTGACCTACTTGGTCTTCACCTTTAGCTCCAGGTTTGTGATGCCATCTGGCTAGTCAACCTTTCTTACCAGTCACTTGCCCATTGGATCCAACTGGGCCTTCACAAACCTAATCTAGCCATAACTTCCTGTGGTATTATTAGCACCACTGGATCAAATTCAAGTCTCCAGCTCTCAAACAAGAGTCATCCTCGACCACTGCAGAAGAACCCATCTGAATGAACTGTTCAAGATGCTGCTGTTCTCCTAGGGCAGGGGTAGGCAACCTGAGAGCCGCAAGACTACAAGTTCCATCATGCCTCTGCAAGTCATAGCTGTAACTGTCAGTTTTGTAATCTTTGCAATGCCTCATGGGAAATGTAGTTCCACAACAGCTAGAGAGCCACAGGTTGCCTACCCCTGTCCTAGGGAGACAATGGAGGAAACTTGTTTTGCGTACATGTTGTGGGTTCTTTAGGTAGTAGTGCACTGTAGTCAGCCTGGTCGTTTCCCTTTGGTATGTGTCCCTAAGCACAGAACGTTACATTCTCTGGTAGATATTGCATGTTCCACCAGGTGGTGGTTGACAGTTTATGTTATGGATTTTTAACAACCCAACCAGTCCCCCAGGAGTCTGGACTTGGGGAGCTGGGCAGGGTGAAGTACCTCTTAGATGTGTATGGAAGAGCACCTGCTAGTCAACCTTTCTTACCAGTCACTTGCCAATTGGCTCCAACTGGGTCTTCATTAACCTAATCTAGCCATAACTTCCTTTGGTATTATTAGCACCACTGGATCAAATCCAAATCTTCAGCTCTCAAACAAGAGTCATCCTCGACCACTGCAGAAGAGCCCATCCGAAGGAACTGTTGAAGATGCTGCTGTTCTCCTAGGGAGACAATGGAGGAAATTTGTTTTGCGTACATGTTGTGGGTTCTTTAGGTAGTAGTGTACTGTAGTCAGCCTGGCCGTTTCCCTTTGGTATGTGTCCCTAAGCACAGAATGTTACATTCTCTGGTAGATGTTGCTGAGCATCTTCCACCAGGTGGTGGTTGACAGTTTATGTTATGGATATTTAACAACCCAACCAATCCCTCTGGGGTCTGGACTTGGGGAGCTGGGCAGGGTGAAGTACCTCTTAGATGTGTATGGAGGAGCACCTGCTAGTCAACCTTTCTTACCAGTCACTTGCCCATTGGCTCCAACTGGGTCTTCACAAACCTAATCTAGCCATAACTTTCTTTGGTATTATTAGCACCACTGGATCAAATCCCAGTCTCCAGCTCTCAAACAAGAGTCATCCTTGGCTACTGCAGAAGAGCCCATCCGAAGGAACTGTTGAAGATGCTGCTGTTCTCCTAGGGAGACAATGGAGGAAACTTGTTTTGCGTACATGTTGTGGGTTCTTTAGGTAGTAGTGTACTGTAGTCAGCCTGGTCGTTTCCCTTTGGTATGTGTCCCTAAGCACAGAACGTTGCATTCTCTGGTAGATGCTGCTGAGCATCTTCCACCAGGTGGTGGTTGACAGTTTATGTTATGGATATTTAACAACCCAACCAATCCCCCTGGAGTCTGGACTTGGGGAGCTGAGCAGGGTAAAGTACCTCTTAGATGTGTATGGAGGAGCACCTGGTATAGAAGCTGACTTTCATTTAATGGCCTTTTTGAAAAGTTTACTAGTTTAGAATATCAAATACAACCAACACGTTTCAGGGGAAAATAGCCTTTCCTTCTTCAGAACTTCAGCAGTCCATGGTAATAGAAGCACAAGGAATTGCACTAGCAGACCTGTGGGTGGGTTAAAGTGGGTGGAAAGGCTAAAGGTTTTGTACCTTAATTCATTCTCTGCAAACCTTTTATGTGCAGACCCTCCCCCCTGCCCTCCCTAAATACCTACCTGAGCCTGATCTTGACCCGAGATCAGTGGCTCTCTCCTCTCTCTCCCTTTTCATTGGAGTGAGAGCAGCGGGAGCCATTAGCTCCTATTGCTGTCAATCAAATCCATTGAGGAGGGAGTCAGGGCGGGGCCAAGCTGCAGTGTGTGTGTCAATAGAACACACAATGTTCCCTTTAAACACCACTGACTCTAGAGCACCAGAGGGGTGGCAACAGCACACAGTCTCAAGGACCTCTCACACCAGCCTGTACTCACTAAGGCC